CTAGCCTGTCTAATTTTGAAGTCGTTACAACTAGGGTTTTATGCGTAGCGATAACAGTTTTAGTTTGGTTGTTTTGTTTAATTGTAACTTTTCGGTGACATCTTTAACCTTTTTTTTAATTGCCGTATTGCCAGATTCCAGTAAGAGCCAAAGATGGTATCCTATATTGAATTATGACAGGCAACGGTGTGGGAAATCTTTTTTGGACATCTAACTCACGGAACAAGATACCCTGTCATCTTTCGGCCGAGTAGGATACTACCATATACCTCACGGTAGTGTCTGATTAGCCGTGTTATACACTTAATAAACAACAAAAATAAAAAAAACTATGAATTTTTAAATAACCATACCTATTACCGTAAATCAGAAAATGTTTAAATGTTAGGCCTTCTTCTTCTTCTTCAAGTTCCACTCCTATCGGAGATTGGAAATCATTCTGGCAATTACAATTTTATTGGTTACTCGCCTGAATAGTTCAATTGAACTGCATCCAAACCATTCACAGAGATTGCTTAGCCTCGAGATTTTACGTGTTCCTACGCTTCTTCTACCTTTGAGTTTACCCTGCATTATATTCCTTAGTAGTTCGTACTTTTCAACTCTCATTATTTGCTCCAAGTATTCAAATTTCCTGATTTTTATGGAATTTAAAACTTTGCATTGTTTTCCTAGTTGTTCGAGAACTTGTTCGTTTGTTTTGCGATCCATCCATGATATTTTCAAAATACGTCGGTAACCCCACATTTCGAATGCTTCTAGGTTTTTAATGTTGGATTTTTTAAGTGTCCAAGCTTTAACTCTATACAAAAGGGTAGAGAAAATATAACATAGAAGCATTCTTATCCAGAGCGATATATTGATATCGCGATTACAAGAAAATTTTCTCATTCTATTAAAAGTTGACCGCGCAATTTCAATGTGGCATCTTATTTCTTTTGTCTGATAAGTATCTTCTGTGATCCATGCTCCAAGGTATTTGTACGAAGATATTTGTTCAATTTCTGTATTATCTAGTACTAGCTTAACTTTTATGTTTTGTGCTTTTGTAAATACCATGAACTTGGTTTTCTTCAAATTGATTTTTAGTCCATAATCGTTGCAATATATATTTATTTGTTCAGCAAGGTGTTGCAGTTCTTCTAGTGTTCCTGCCAGAAGGACGGTGTCGTCAGCATATCTTATGTTATTAAGTGGCTCACCGTTTATTATAAGGCCCTCACTGATCTCGGCAAGCGCTAATTCTGAGATGGCTTTACTGTATAAATTGAATAACAAGAGTGATAAAATACACCCTTGGCGGACCCCACGGCGAATCTGGATATCCTTGGTCAGTTCCTTTTCAACTTTCACTTTTGCTGTTTAATTCCAATAGAGGTTACAGATCATTCTAATGTCTCTACTGTGTATGTTTTTATTTAATAAAATTTCTTTAAGTTGATTATGCTGCACTCTGTCAAATGCCTTCTCAAAATCAATGAAACAGGCATATACTTCCTGATTAATATCTAAGCATCTCTGCGAAAGAACACTTAATGCAAACAGTGCATCTCGTGTTCCCAGTTCTTTCCCAAATCCCATTTGTGTATTACTTATGCCTTCATCTAATTTCTTATGTATTCTATTGTGAATTACTTTTAAAAACAATTTCAAGACATGACTCATTAAGGCTATGGTGCGATGTTGATTGCACTCCTTTGCATTGGTTTTTTTGGGAAGCAGTATGAATGTTGATTGGAGCCATTCTTTAGGTATTATACCTGTTCTATATATGGTATTGAATAGATCCAAAAGAAGATCAATAGATTTAGTATTCACAATTTTAAGTAATTCGATAGGAACTTGTTTCATTGCATATTCAATTTCTTCTCGTATAATGTCAGGCTCAGTATCATCCTTAAATTCTTTTGGTGCTTCTGTTCTCTCTTTGTCTTCAAAAAGTTGTGCTATATATTGTGTCCATCTCTGCATTTTTTTGGTTTATGTCTGTTATAAGTGCACCTCTTAGTTGCCTAGTTTGAAGTGTTTTTCTCTTTCCTGTTAATTCTCTAATTCTTTTATGCATGTTAAAAAAGTCATATTTTTTCTCAATTTTTTCTAGTTCTTGGCACACATTCTCTCCTTAGCTTCTTTTATTCTCTTTTTTATTAATCGATCAGTTTCATTATATTTAATTGGATTTTTTGTTTTGAATGATTTTCTTTCATTCATTAATAGTAGTATTTCTTCAGTCATCCAATCTTTATGTTTTCTATTCTTTGGTTTTAAGTTTTCATTTGCTGTTTTAATTATTGCTACTTTTATATTTTCCCATTCCTGATTAATGTTATAGATACTTTTATTCAGTTCTTGGGCATTACGTAGATTTTCAGTAAGAGTTTTTACAGTTTGTTCCTTTGTTTGTGGTTCCCTTAATCTCTTAATGTCAATTCTACTTTGTGTGGGTTTTTTAACCAGTTTTAATTTGGTTTGTAATGTGACTACTATGGGGTTATGGTCTGAACCGATGTCTGCTCCAGGGTAAGTTTTGGCAGACAGTATAGAATTACGAAATCTTAGGTCTTAGATGTTAGGCCATAATCTAATAAATAATATTAACTATAAATTTTTAGATCCCTGGCTTAATTTTCTCCTCTATCCTCCTGCTCCTTTTTCTTCATTACCCCAGAAATTAGACAGTGTACTTCTTCCCATTCTTTCTCTCCTCCCAACATTATGTTTATCATGTTTCTTTCATCCAGCCCGAAACTCATTCGCCTCTCGAAATCTCGAAAAGAAGTCAAAAGAAATCAGCTGCCCTGTCGACCCGGCTCAAACAGAAGATAATCTTGACAATCCGCCAATTTTTTGTTAATTATGGTACAGTTCTCTCTCTATACCGATATGCAAGGGACCGGGAATTACCATCGTTATAAGGAGATATCGTTATACAGAGAGAAACAAAATTCCGTACTGTAATATGTATTAATAATACTATATTAAAAATAAACCATTTTAATTTTAAAAAATTATCAAAACGAATATAAATGAATAACCACTATATTGTACACCATATAGATTTAATAAAGACAATACAGCATACAAAAATGAAAATTAAAACATATGTAATGTACAATAACAAAATAATATGCTACTGTTAAATATATTTAGCCTACATTACCAAAAAAGTGTGTCACCTTGGTCTGTTTCCTTTTCCCTTTCCACGGAACTAACCTGACCTTGTCCTTAAGACGCATAGAATCTTCCACAGCAGTCATATCGTCTTCCTGGTGAATGAAGAATCGGTGCAGTACTTTTGCCACTGTTTTCTTCTTCTTCTACACTGCTTGTAGAATGTCCTTGTCAAAAAGTCCAGATGTTATAGCTACAATTTCTCAACTTCTTTACAATCTGTTAGCTTTTCCGGTCCGTAGGTGATAGTAAGTTTAACTGTCTGGCCTAAATATCTAATGGCAGGTGGTCTTCATCATCAATCAGTCAATCCTTGATCATAAAGCCCTCTGGCTATTTGAAGGAATGTTTCATTGTATTGCTCGTCACCTTGTCCCACGATTTACTAATCATTAGGATGGCATCAAGAATGTTTAGTTTAAGATCGTCATTATTCTCAACCAATTCCATCAGAAGTCTTTTTCTCTAATGGCTTCTCAAACTCTTGATGACACTTTAGTCAATCGGCTGAAGGACACTCGTTGTGTTTGCTGGCAGAAAACAAAGTTCAATATTTAGAAGGTCGCACAATATAGAATAAGCAGGCCAATTGTTTACAAGTAGTAGAATTTTTTTCCCTAAGCTTGATATTCCACATTCTTATCGCTTCTCTTCCGAAAAATTTCCGAAGTCATTCACGCACTCTTGTTTGCTTTGTATGTCACCAATAGATTTTTATGTTTTTAAAGCAACATGAGCTTATCCACTTCCCTATCACTAACAATTTTCGCTTCACCGAACCTATCATGTTAGCGGCCACTAAAACTGTAATACGTTTCTTAGAGCTATTTCCAACAACGGACTTTTTCCTATTTAAATTTAAGAGTTCTGTTTGGTGTCATTATAAAAAACAATCCAGGCTCTGACGCATATCGTGCCTTCAGTCCAGCTACCACTTACTCAAACAACCCTCAGATGCGTTGACATTCTCAATTCCAAGCTCAGTTGTAAAAAACTAAGCCTTTGTGCTGACCACAGGCCCAGAAAGCGGAATATGGTTCATAAGCTGCTGCTGGAACCACTGAAGCATAGCGCGATCTAAATCTTCATACTGAGGTTTCCGCAACTTCTTCCTGCTACCGCCTCATATCTCCGCTTACAGCCACGTTTTTCTGTCCTTTCGTATCGTAGCCACAGTTGACTGAGACAGCCTTGTACGACGAATGCCATCCGATTGCTTTTCACCTTTCTCTATTGCTAGAGTTATCAATTTTTCCTTTTCCTTCACCGAGAGCATTTTGCGCTTTTTCGAAAACATCTTGACTGTTGATACACTGAGATACAACTCAAACTAGAAATGAATAGTCATCAATAGATGTCATTGTTATAAGCGAGTTACTTAACCCTCTGGTAGGAATGAGTAGAATGGGTGGCTATTCCTTAAGCGCAAAACAAAACAACCGCTGGACAATGTCCTTGCCACTCATGACTCTTAGTAGTAGGTAGTCTGAACTTAAACACAATAACACATTTATTATCGACTATTTCACGCCGAAAAGTCATCGCTATAAAGAGAGAACGATATCGGTATAGAGAAAGAATTAATACATTGTGCTTATGACGAACAAACCAACGTTTACTATTTTCATCGTTAAAAAGGAAGTATCGTTATACAGAGAATCGTTATAAAGAGTGACCTGTATATGTTTTCACCCAAAACGGTCTAAATATGGAGCTGCATTCTTCTTACAGAAAACTCCTCGATGCATTAAAGTGGACAACTACCACGACATGATAAACCACTGATACACTTTACTTAGGTACCTGAGAAAAGAAAATATATTTAAAGCGAGAGGTAAAACTATATTTTTCTTACAAATTATGTTTACATTTTTGTGTAGCTTTTTACCCTAACTACTACATATATTTTATAATTCAATATTTTGGTCTGATCAACATTCTGCTTCCATACAGTAAATTATTTGCTTCTAACTTTAATTCATTTCCTTCTAATTTGTTCCAGTTCATGCCACGAAGTTTACGATCAGCGTTGGGCAAATTTCTGAGTTGTCCATTTAAAGTAACACAATAGCAATTTTTATACCACCAGCCACCGCCTGAAATAAAATATTATTTTTTATAAAATACCTAAAAAGAACTTATTATAAAAATACAATTTTTCAGTTCGAAAAAGGCGACTTACGCCCTGAGAGGTAACAACCATCTGTTGACAGAAGAAATTGGATCAACATCACATCAACCATTTATCTTGGCCATCACGATCCCTTGATTTATATCCAATTAAACATCCCTGGGACAAGACATGCCACAGGCTATTAAATTTGCAACACACTGCATATACTTTGGCAGCTCTTATTCACGAAGTTGCAGTAGCCTGGAATGAGATACCTCAATTGAATATCGACCACCTCATTAGAACGATGCTCAAGTGAGTCAATAACTGTATAATTAATCAATATTTTTCAATACATTGAACCAGCTTCTGGGGTAAGTTTGCGATAAGGCAATTCCCTGTAAGTGGTACTATTCAATATTATCAGTAGACGGAACAGTCAAGGCCAGCGAAATTAAATGCAAAGCAGCCCATCCTTCATCACAAATAGTAGAAAATACAGATGACATAGTTCTTGTGAGAAGAAATAAGAAAAGATTAGAAGAAACAATAACAATGCTGGCAAATGAAGAACCTAAAAGAGGTCTAGAAATTAACAAAGGAAAAACGAAATATCTTTTTCTGGGAGCTGAGAATCTTCTAAAAACCTCTTCTAAAAATCTCAATGTGTTGGATTCAGTGCGTTACGCTTTACCGTAACCAACTGAACTCACCTCCCTTTCTTCAATTGACGGGACTGAGACCGCTCTTAGGGAGCTTCGTCATTTGTCCCATCAATTGTTTTAATCCACACAAACTATCACAACGTTTTAATCCACCACGCAAAAGAGAAATCGCTATGCATCAATTACCTCGCTCACAGCATTAAATACCGCGTTCGTCGTAGAACGATCACTTAGGAATAAAATTGATATTTGATAACCTTTTTAATAACTTTTCCAAAGTAGAAACAATTCTTATGTGTCTGTTATTGTCAGTTTATGAAGAATCATCTTTTTTGTAGGTTTCTTTTTTTAATTTTTGCTATTAATTTTACGAACGTCCTTACAAATAAAATTACTAAGAGAGTTTAAAGTTTAGAAGGCCTCTTCTTCCACAACCAGATTAATTAAAGAGGTCATCGACATTAATAGTGGGAAGAGATGTAATTATCATCATCACTGGCTCGACAACCCTTTTTGGGTATTGGCCTGTTCCAGGATTCTTCTCCATTCTGATCTGTTTCGTGCTTTTTTTCTCCATTTTTGTTAGATTTAAGGTTTTATCATTTTCGATTTGTTCCAAGTATGTCAGCTTCGGTCTTGGTCTTGTTCTTTTCCTACTGGCATCTGTTTGAATATTTTTTTTGGTATTTCGCCAGTATTATTTTAATATATTCATTATGAGACAGGTGATTGAAAAGAACAACGAAAGAAACATTGAAACACATATGAGCTTTATCGACTTAGAGAAAACATACGATAGCGTGCCCAGGAAACAACTATGGGAAGCAATGACAAGAATGCGCGGTAGAGAGAAATGGGTGAATATATCACAAAGACTGTATAAAAAAACACAAGTGCAAATAAAATTAGGTAATGAAATACCAAAAACAATCACCGCAACAAAAGCCCTCAATACATTTACTACTTTTCGCAGATGATCAAGTCATTTTTGCACAAGACAGGGAGGATATGGAATATATGATAAGGAAATTAAAGAAAGAATATGAACTTTGGGGACTCCAGATAAATATGTGCAAGACCGAATAGCACGGGGAAAACAAGCCACAAGAGCACTTCATGGAGTGATATGGAACAACACTCTAACCAAAGAAAATAAAAAGAGGATCTTTCAAAGCATAGTGATGAATATTACCCTATATGGAGCGGAAGTATGGCCAATGACAACAACAATACGAAATAAAATAAGAACAAAATCCACAAGGAAAAATTCCTGTAGCTGGCTGTATACCACGTATAACAAAAAGAGGTTAATCTTTGTAAATGGGTATATTTATTTAAAAAACCCTTAAAAGGGCCACATCAATAAAACAAACGTTTTCGGACCACACAGTCCATCATCAGGTTATTAAAATCGAAAATGCCTAAAAATAAGTATAAACCATTTAGTTAAAACAAACGAGATTGTGAAATTTTGACTATGGTTGAAAAGCAAAAGATGGTTATACTTACTAGGTCACAATGCCTGAGCCACCAAAATATTAGGGTAAAAACCCTTTAAATTACATTTAGTTATGAAATATTGTACATTGTGTTATAAAATAACTGTGATGTTCAGTATTAAATTAAATTTGACTATAGGTAACACATGGTTCAATTGGGTTCCAGAGCCGGTGAGAGGGAACCTCTGCACTCGGAGAACAACGTGGAACTGATTGACAAGATACTTTTGAAGGATGAAGATAACAGAATGTCAATGTAACAAAAACTATAATAGTTGTACATAGTATTACTACAGCCAAAAGATTCAACAAGTTTTGATGATTTTAAAAAATAACAACAATCTAGGTGTTGGGATTTAAAAACTTTTTATTTATTAATTTAGGGTATAAAAGATGTCAAATCAATGATGGTTTTATAGTCATGATTAATAGAATGACCTGTGCCTTAGGCAACTTATGTTGCTTTTCGTCGTATGGAATGTGGTCTAAAGTGTATTTAATTTTGGGTTAGCTTATATTTATGAAATTTATCCTTTTATGTTTAACACATCTAGGACAAGGTAAAAATTAAATAACAAATATTTGAAGCTAATATCAGACCTCATATTTAAATGACTTTATTTAAGAATGCTCCTATGGTGAAAAATTAATAAAATTAAGTTTAGTAAGATGGAAATCTACAGGCTGAAGAAATTGAAGTAGTAACATATGTGATTGAATTTAAAATTGAAGAGACTGGGTTCCTCAGAGACCAATGAGAATAAAAGTAAAAGAAATGACTGAAGAAAAGGAGGGGGGGGGGGTTGAAGGAGAAAAGGAGTTGATCAACAATTAGAGATAATAGGGGTCCTTTATACTTAAAGTATCTAGCACCCTGAACAAAATCTATTTTGGTGGTATTAAATTCAGTTTGTAGAAACCTGAAATTTGTTGTATAAGTGTGCTACTAAGTTGTTGACCGAAAGAAGGTGGACAAAGGTAGATTAGGATTCTTTGTAATATGGTAGATTATGAATTTTAATAAATTGTTAGATAATGTTTGAATGATTACTAAATTAAAACTATTGGATACATGTTTAATATATGAATTGACCAAGAAATAATGAAAGAGAACAGAATTAACAGGAAAGCGATGTAGAAGTGAAGAGTGGATAAGATAGTGAAATGTTGGTATGATGGATGTGGATGGTTCTGAAGTTAAAATTGGGGTCAGAAATTTGTGAGAGGAAGGTGTGACGATATTGTATAAAATGGGTGTTTGAAGAACCACAAGATTGTGTAGGAATAAGGTGTTGACGTTTGTATAGGAAAATAAGGCAGAGAAAATAGGACAGTATTGTGAAGTGTGGACTATGAAAAAAGTTGACGATGTAAAGGTTGAAAGTCACGGTTGAAAGATACATGGCGATTAACACAATTGGGGCTTTTTTGTTTTTCTTTGACTATTTCCAAGTCTTCATATAGATCTAATTTTAGAAAATTTTTTTGGGGAATATTATGTAACAAAGAGACGTCTTCTGGGATGTTGAGGGTATGTTTATGTTGTGCAAGATGTTGAGAGAAGGTGGAAGTGTTCTCTTTTTTAGTGTGTTCTAAGGAACGAGAAGTTAGTGATCTACAGGTTCTACCTATATATGTAGCATCACAATCAGAGCACTGTAATTTATAAACACCACTACGATCCATGTAGTTGATGGGATCTTTTGCATTGGTTAAACATTGTCCTAGATTGTTCGGGACTTTGAAAGAAATGTGGGTATTCTCAACAGATCTTTTTAGGATGTATCTAAGATCTCCAGAAAGACGTTCTTGAAGGTAAGGCAAAGAAAAATAATGAGTTTTGATGGTCAAGTCTCTAGGAAACGCAGTCTCTCTCAATAGTTTGAGTTGTCTCTTATTTATAAGTTTGTTAATGATATTGGGGTCATATCCATTATTGAATGCTATTTGTTTAAGGGTGTTAACTTCTGTATGATAGTTGGATTGTGATAGTGGAATTGTTAATAATCGGTGAATGTAACTATGGAATGCTGCATATTTGTGTGACATTGGGTGGTTGGAAAACAAAGGTATGATATGGTCAGTTTGTGTTGGTTTTCTATAGATACTGAAATCGAAGTGGTCGTTTAATCTGGTGATGGTAAGGTCAAGAAAATTAATAGATTGAGATGATTCTAGTTCCATAGTGAACTTAATGTTTGGGTGGATTTGGTTTAATTTAGAGAGTAATAGATCAGCTGAATTTGAGTTACCTGATATGAAGACTAAGCAGTCATCAACATATCGAAACCAATGGAGAATTTCAGGATTTTTCATAATGTGTGTGGATTCTAAGTGATCCATAAATATATCAGCTAAGAAAGGGGAAAGGCAACTACCCATGGCTAAGCCATCAGGTTGTCTGTAAAATTTACTATTGAAAACAAAAAAGTCTTGAGCTAGACAAGTTTGTAATAATTGAATAATTGAGTTAGTGGTAGACAAAGTGATAGAATTTGCTCGAAGAAGAGACTGGACCAGATTAATAGTTTCTTGTTTGGGGACTGAAGTAAATAGGTTGCTGACATCAAATGAAAGCATTGTGATGTTAGGATGAAGATTTATTTGTTGAAGATTGTTGACTAGATGAATAGTGTTTTTGACTGCAAATCGAGAGGTGAAGTTCGTCATGTTGTTAATGAGATTCAATATGAATTTTGACAAAATAGAAACTGGAGTATTTATGAAACTAACAACGGGACGAATGGGAATGCCCTCTTTATGTATCTAAGGTAAACCGTACAATCTGGGTGTTAGTGGGTTACTAGGTATTTTATAATATGGAGCGTCATGTTCTGAGAGAAATTCTGTGAAAAGTTTATTGGTGGCTTTGATTTTGTTAATGAACTTTTTTGTTGGGTCTTCGGAGAGCAAAGTGAAATTGTTATCTGAAAGAAATGTGGTGACCTTGTCGTTATATGAATTTTGATCTAAAATAACTAGGCAATTGCCTTTATCTGCTTTACTAATAATAAGATTGTGGGATTTAATTTTGTTTTGAATAGACTTGAGGATTTGGAGTTGGTCTTTCTGTTTTTTGTTTGAAAATTGTGGAAGAGAAGCATTGAATGAATAATTTTGGGAAGTAAAAGGTGGGTTAATGGATGAAGAGTTATTTGATGTGTTTAGTAGAGTGTTGGGAGTAGGGTTATTGAAAGAAGTAGAAGATGATGGAAAATTTTTGTTTTTGAATTTGTGGATAGTTTTATAGCAAGAGTTTCTAATTGACGTTTTTTGATTTAGAGGGATAGAAAGATTCTGGATGATAACATCTAGCTCAATGGAAAGACTCTGAAGGTCCTTTTCAGAAACCTTCTTCGGAATGGAGTATTTGAGACCTAGATTCAATAAATTGAGTTCATTTTTATCAAAGATTACAGAGGATAAATTTTTGAGCCTTGGGTGAAATTGAAAATTAGAGAATTTAGTTTTATTGTTGCTGTTATTGTTTTGTGAATAAGATGAAATACTGATGAGTTTATTAAGTTTAGATTTAAGTTTACTGAATTTAATAGAAGTTACATTGTCCATTCCAAAATAAGAACAGTTAAACTGAACTTTATGAGAACATGTCTACAAATCACAAGAGCGAATATATTAAGAACGGAGGAAATATGGCACAGAATGAAAGTAGAATGCTCAATTACAAAAAAGTTGGAAAACAGAGCCCTGCAGTGGTACAGGTATGTACAAAGAATGCCAGAGCATAGGTGGTCGTAAAGAATATTAAACTGGGACCCACCGGGAAGAAGACGGAGAGGAAGACCTGCTACAAGATCAAAAACATACGTTGGAAATGCTATGATAGATAGCACCCTTAGAGAAGGTGACTGGGAGAATAGAGTGCTGTGGAGGACGAAAACGGCGAACTCATAATGGGAAAAGCCGAAGAAGAAGAAGAAGGCATAGTTAGATTGAATGAAGCACGAACACTGAGATAGCTGGGACACGTGGACATTTTTATAGCTCAAATACAATTATAATATGACAGTTATTACTTACGTGCTAATACTGCGCAGCTGTCCTCACCCCAAGTATCACGGTCCAAATCAAATGTACTAAACTTCTGCCCTTCATGATATTTCATGCAGTCTCCGGTTGTATTACCCCAATAACCTGCTGTATTTTTTAATGCATATCCATCGTATTCAGATCCTATTCTAAAAACTGAATATCTAGCATAATAATTTACCAAATTGTGGTCAGTTATTTCTATAAGCAACTCGTTTGTTTCAGTGCCTAAAAAATATAGTTTAAGTTAACATATTTAACAAATTTGCCATACTATCAAGAGAACAGCAGATGACATATTGAAAATAACAGAATTCAGATAACGGAATTCAATCAGCAAGTTTAGGATGGGATGAATAAAATGGAAGGGTGTGAATAATCGGTTGTATGACGGAAATATTCCAATAAAAGTGGTTGGTTTTTAAATTTTCATAAAATTATTAAATTTTAAAAGTTCTCTGAACTAAAGTTTAGATAAATTATTATAACATACCTGTTAATTGATATATATTTTCTAAACCCAACCAAAATTCACCTTTAAGATTTCCAAATTCAAATTTATATTCTCTGTAAGATCTATTAAAGTCTTCAGATCCATCAAATCTCTTTTGAATGTGTGTCCATCCACCTCCTTCAATTTCCATGTCGCATAAGACTCTCACAGGTTTTTTATGACCACGTGGTAGAATTTTGTATAAACCAGAATTTTTGTAACCTTAAATAATACAAACTTTATGAGAATGAATTGATATAAGGTTGAATGCTCGAATAAATGTACTTTTATAATATAAAAGGCAAATATCGAGCACAATATTAATTTAATCTTGCCCAAGTACTTTCGATCATCAAAATGTCATAAACATAAAATGGAACATTACAATACACTACACAAGGATGAACAAACACTTTAAAATTTTTGAAATAGGCGAAGCTACATTGTCTATAGAAGCCGGAGACAGAATCATTCTGTCTCCGGCTTCTGATCCAAAGCGGTAGTTAAACATCTCTTTGAAAATTTTGTAATAAAATGGATATCCTACTTTTGTGTCAGGATACCTAGTTTAAAAAGATTGTATATAATTTTATCCCACCATTTCGTCTGGCAGCTAAAATATAACCTAATTTAACATAACTTGCCGATGTATAGTAGTTACAACTATTTACCTGCACGGTTTTCCGGTTTTTATTGCACATACTATATTACCCAGGAGCAGATATAGGCTCGGATCACAATCCTGTAGTAGTCACATTAAGAATAAAACTAAAGATCATTAAAAAACACATACAGAAACAAATTGACCACTAAAACAGTTGACCATAAAAAACATCGAAGCTTTCAAGATGTGATGCTATAGGCGCATTCTCAGAATATCATGGATGAACCGCGTCACTAACACGCAAGTACTCCAAACTTTAGACAAAAGATGCGAAATTCTAAATGAGATAAAAACTAGAAAGATGGAATACTTGGGGCACATTGTGAGAGGTGAAAAGTACGAACTTTTAAGAAACATCATGCAGGGTAAAATTAAGGGCAAAAGAAGTGTGGGAAGCAGAAAAATATCGTGGCTTCGTAATCTACGTGAATGGTTCGGGTGTAGTTCGATTGAACTTTTCAGGCGCGCTGCTAACAAAGTCGCAGTGGCCATGATGATTTCCAGTCTCCGCTAGGAGTGGCACGAGAAGAAGAAGACTATATTGCCTTTGTAATTAACATGCTCTGCTCCAGAAAGTATTGAAATTTTAAATCTGTTGACTTTACACTCGTCAGTGTGTAATACACCTTTTCTCTTCTTCCGTTTAACACTTTCACTATCACTCATATTTGTTACTAAAATACGAATGTAAAGCAACAATAATCCTTTAGCAACGACAGAGGACAAGGGATTTAAAATTCCTATTTAATGGCGTATTTAAAATATTTTGGAAAAAAAATGGATGTACGCCATAAAGATTATCAGTTTCTAATAGACTACCAAGAAATAGTGATTGATTTTGGATAAGCCATATTACATTGTTTATACCAATTTAGGTTTTGGTTATAAATAAATGTTTTTGGCGTTACACACTTTGTAATAAGAATTTATATATTACCGTTTTCGTAAGCCTCCTTACAGTTCTTTGGCAAAGGTATGTTGGTATTTATATTTTCCGAAATTGGACAACAGTTTCCTTTACTTATTCCGACCAAAAATTTACAAGACTCAGGAAACTCACTGCTTAGTCCTAAAAAATAGTGTATTGAATTATTGTCTTAAAAATAACAGATTGTGGACGGATTAAAGATAGCTATTTGAGTTATATTTTTTATAATTTTTTTTCTTTTTTCTTATAAGAAAAAAAGAAATGAATCGATATGCTCTCCTTCAGGCCATTCTGCAAGGAAAACTCTTTTGCAAGCGAGGTCCAGGAAACAAAGAACATCTTGGTTAAACAACCTCAGAATCTGGTTCAATACAACATCTGTGCAGCTTTTTCGCGCTGCTGACCAAACCAACCTTCGATAATTCAAACTTAATAAAACAAAGTTAGAAACATAATTTCGAAAAATTCCAGGATATGTTTCACAAAATATGTCGGTTCTAGATTACCCATATTTCTTAAAACAAAACATATGCAAAATTTATAAAACAAACAAAACTTTTGGATACAGAATTTGTAAAATTAATGTACATCCTAATTGTTTAAAATCTTTTCATAAAAAAAGTATATGTAGATTCTCAAAATTTTAACATTTCTCTATAAATGTATGTTTAATTTTAAATTTACGTCATTGATTTTTTATTATGGCCATGTTCCAGAATTGGAAAAAAAAGTTTTTAGACACAGGGCAATTGTGAAAAGTTTTAGAATTTTTTAAAATATTTTTTCAGAGTTCAGAATACGAAATTAATTTCTAGTCGTTATAAAATTTTAAAAATCGAAGCTTGGAATGGGTTATAAAAAAATTTGAAAAATGATTTTCAGTTTATATCAAATGAATATAGAAAAGAACAATGACAAAAAAATATAAGAATATAAAGTAAAAAATATAATAATCTTATAATAGAGGAAATAAATAATAAAGAAACATAATTTTTACCTTCAGAATTAATTCCTACTAACACAGAAATAATTAACATTATATAATTCATTGCTGTTAGATCAATATTAACATAAACGTCCAAACAAACGAATACCCAGATTATATACCTAGTGTATACACTCGTGATATAGATATCAGTATTTTTTTTTAATAATACCGTAAATTATTAATTAGTAATTTGAAATTGCCAATTAATTTTTTGGTCAGAGTTCAGGAACGTAGTTGATAATATTCTTAGATCAAATATGAATGTGTAAAACCCGAACATAAACATTAATCCCAAATTTAAATTACGACATTGTCGCAATATTAAAGCAGATCATCGAAATTTGCAAATTTAAGACTGCTTTCCGTTCTCAAATTGACTTCATTCAAGAAGGAAACTTTGGAATCATCGATAGATCTATATTCGTTAACCCCACCAAGAGTTAGATTAACCAATAACTCGAACAGTCGATATCTTCAAGCAAGATTAAGGGAACCGAAAATCTTGAAAGCCATTAAGCTACATTTGGCTTTTCTACACGACCAACCTGCATCAGTATGTTACAAAAGATTCAATAACACAAGCATTAAATTCTTTTTGGCTTGCGAAGGACATTCCACTAACATAAAAAATCTACGAAAAACCTTGTATAATTAAACGATGCCTTTGGAATTGGTCCAATTGAGGTACAAGCTGATCTTGCTGCTTTTTGGTCCTTCCTCACTTCGGTAAGAATTATTCACATACAAAAATCAAATCAAGGGAAAGACACCGAAACTACTATCCCATTCTCTCTCCAAAACGAAATTGCTAAATACTATGTCGAGTTCTGTGGGACTAGAAACCTCAAATTATTTTAGCGTTGATAACTTTAGTTTTGGTTTTCTCCGAAATATTGTTTGGTGGCATGTCCCCTTCTGGTTTGAAGGTATTCAATTGTGGTATTTAACTTCCGATACAAATAAGGATTTAAGAATATTAAAATCATATGTGTTTAGTACCTAGCATGGTATAGAAGCATGGACACTCAAACATAACAATATAAAAGTATTGAGAGTTAGGAGGTATGATGCTATCGACGAATATAAGAATAAATTGGGTTGTCCAAGTTACAAGCAAAGAAATAATACGTCGAATTTACAAAAAAACCCATAGTAATACTTACCACAAATTTCTGCCAACCAATCAACCAATTATATAATATAAATAGAGCGGAAAGTACATTATAATTTTTATATATAATAAAAGTAATTAATTCTGGCTTAAATTAATTGTATGAAAACATGTTATATGAAAACATAAATTATAAACAAGCTTGAATGTTACTTATTTTGTATAATTATTGATAACACAAATCAGTGTTTTTACCAATACTAACATAATAGTACAAAAATACTACTCTTGCTATCTTAGTGATACAAGGGTGTATGTAACACAATTAAAAATAAGCAATTTTAAGATAACAAGGTTCTATGTATCATAAGGCACCTATAGAATAGGTAAAGAAATAATAAATAAGACTTACTCACAATCAATTTAATTTAACTATCAGACGACCGGTTTCGCTTTCTACAATATGCAAAGCATCTTCAGGTCTCGATACGAAGTTAAATAAATGCTGAAATGATAAAAACACATATTAGGGTGTTGTCTAATAAAGATAAACAAATTAGATGTTGTAAATTACAATAATTATGCCTCATTTTGAAATAAATCCACTGTGGTTTTATTTCAAAATGAGTAAGTTGAATAAAAAGGTATAAAAAGTTTTAAAAGTTTAAACATACAAGGTAAGGGCCACAAATTGTTATAAAATAGTCTATTAGATTGTAATAAATTAATAAATGAGCAAATAAATAAACATTACTTAAATGCCGGTACTCTATTAATAGATGGATGGTAGAACATGGTTGAAACTATTATGTATTGTTGAATAGAGAACTTAATTCTGCTATTGTAATTGTTTGATAGCAAACGGGAAGTTCTTGAGGAGATAGATTTGATCCAATGAAGTAGAGATATGTGTGTGATTGTTTGTTAAATGAAAGTGATGCTATATACCATTGTATTATTTAAAAGTTATTTATACTTATTCGAGAGATATATTTATGGAATGTGTGTTTTCATACCAGATGTGGACCAGATTTTAATTTTGATGTAGAAGATTTAAATAATCTAAGAAGTGTATCAAATGCATCTGATTATATATGGGATTCTGGAATAAATGTTGTTTGATCATAATATTGAAGTTACTTCTGAAAAATATGTGATGATAAAGGATAATATATCGAAATCTAATATGATAAGTTGCTGTTTGGGGCAACAATTATTGAACAAAAATTGTTGCCCCAAACATCAACAATTTTTGGGTCTTACCTTGTCTGTAAAACTTTTTATACCTTTGTATTCATTTTACTCATTTTGAAAAAAAAAACCACAGACATGTAATATTGGCATGATTATTGTAATTTATAACATCTAATTTGTTTACCTTTATTAGACAACACGCTAATATGGGTTTCTATCATTTCAGCATTTATTTAACTTTGTATCGAGACCTGAAGATGCTTTGCATATTGTAGAAAGCGAAACCGGTCGTCTGATAGTTAAATTAAATTGATTGTAAGTAAGTCTTATTTATTATTTCTTTACCTATTTGAAATGGACTCACACAAGCAACACATTCATGATTTGCACCTATAGAACTTTGTGAATCTAAAATATATGCATCATCATCAATAAGCCTATATTTGTCCACTGCTGAATGTAGACCTCCCGTAAAATTTTCCACCTATTTCTATCTTGAGCTCCTTGCATCCAGTTTGTGGTGATGCACTTGATATCATCCGTCTATCTAGTCGGTGGTCGTCCTCTGCTTCGATATGCCTCTTCTATTGGTCGCCATTCCAGAATCTTTCTGGTCCATCTATCATACATTAATCTTTCAACATGTCCGGCCCAACCCCATTTAGCCATGGTTATTTTTTCAACTGTATATGTGACTCCTGTTCTTCTTCTTATTTCTAGGCTTGGTACTTTATCTCTGATGGTAATACCTAATATTGATCTTTTCATAGCGCCTTGTGTAACTCTTATTATTTTATCTATTGTTCTTTTTGTCAGAGTCAGTGTTTCTGCACCATATGTAAGAACCGGTATAACGCACTGGTTAAAAATCATTCTTTTTAAACAAACTGAGATAATAGAATTAAAAATGTTATTTAATCTACCAAAGGCAGCCTACGTGAGACCTATCCTTTTTTGTATTTCAGTTGTCTTATTATCTCGGCCCAAGCAAATTTCATGCCCTAGATATTTGTAAGCTATTACTTGGTCGATGCTATGGCTCTCAATCTGAATTTTACCGGTGACTACAAGGTTGGTCATAAATTTTGTCTTTGAGGTGTTTTAAGACCAATTCTTTTTGACACTTTATAGAGCGTGTGCAGGATTTTTGTAGCTTTATAAACTCTATCAGATATTAAAACGATATCATCGGTAAATCTTGGGTGGTTCAGATCTTCCCCATTTATACTAATTCCCGTATTATCCTCTCGCTTCATTTGCTTGAACATATATTTAAGAACAGCTGTAAAAAAATTAGGGGAGATAGTATCACCCTGTCTAATTCCACGTTCTATTCGAAATTTCTTGGTATCTTTATGAAGGCCGACACAAGCTGTACCAGTTTCGTAAATACTTTTAATCAAGGCGATATATCGGTAGTCAATGCTGCAGTCAGCCAATGCTCGAAGTACTTTATGATGATCTATAGTATCGAATAAAAGAAAATAAAAAAAGTATTTTCTTGTGCTAGAAAGGAAAATGTAATTAAACGGTGTAATACTTTTAAAGATTTATTTTTTAAACTATAAAAGCAACTACTGTAAGCGTCCAGAACATATTTAAATCAAGAGATCTTACTTTATTTTTCTTACAAATTATGTTTACAAGTAGCCTTTTACCTAAATTATTGAATATATTTTATAATTTACCACATCGTCGTATCAACATTCTGCTTCCATACAGCGCTCCAGTGATATCTCTCGCTGAATATCCTGACAATCTATCCCATTTCATTCTACCGAACGCCGGGATATCTCGTTTAGGCAAATTTCTAAATTGTCCATTTAAATTTGTACATGCGCATGAATTAAACCACCAGCCACTACCTAAAATGAAGCAATATTTGTTGTAAAATAAAAAAGTAAAAGGATGCATTTCATTTCAATCGGAACTCCACCATTTCCCGACACGTGTTTCGGATTATTCAACCCATCATCAGGAGCACTTGTGGAGGTTCAACTGAAATAAAATGCACTCTAGTATTTGGTCATTATAACCAAAATAATAGCCAGGGTACGCTAGCCACGACATCTATAAGAAATAACAAGAAGTCGAGAGACTTCTCTGATAGCAAATTAGATGAATTTATATATATATATATATATATATATATATATATATATATATATATATATATATTATAATATATATATATATATACATATTGTCACCATAGGGAGAGTAGGGTCTTCATATGAAATGACTCCATATCAGCTCTCTAGGTGCTCTACAGAGGTCTTCGGTTAGTCAATCCGAAGCTGCCTCTGCGTTTTCATCTTAATTAGATGGGAAGATAAATAAAACACAATTTAGTCGTAAAGAAAGGTCCTAGCAAAAGAGTCTAAGGAGACGGAAGGAGCGGAGCCCCATGAAGGAGGCCTCCCAAGCGTAGGACACCTTACGTGGGGACCGTAGCTAAGCTAGGCGTCGACTGCCGTGAGATCTGAATAATCCCATATTTAAAGACGATTTAATATTTATATGAGATTTTTGGATCTCCTGGCCAATAGAAAATTGAATAAAAGGTAGGGAGGCGGGGCGACGCACGTCAGGGTGTGGCATTAGTTCGCGACATATATATATATATATATAATATATATATATATATATATATATATATAATATATATATATATATATATATATATATATCAATCGGTTTTAAAAGGTCTTTCGACGTTTTCCGATGACTAATTTCCATGACACTATCATCCCATTGGCCATCTCTAAGTTCTCTTGCGCTTATCGCCTTTGTTACTCCCTCTCTCCAAGATTTCTTGGGTCTTCCTCCCTTTCTGCGGTTTGGCGGTACCCATTGCATAATTGTTTTTATGAGTCTTGAGTTATCCATCCTCTGGATGTGTCCGTACCATATCAGCTGTTTTCTTTCTATGTCTGTTGTTAGAGGGCCGTCAACCCCCATTCGCTGTCTTATATCATCATTACGTATTCTTTCTTCCTATTTCATGACTGCACAGTACTCTATTCAGACAACCTATTGTTTCTCTGAATTGTGTTATTCTTCTCTTTATTTCTTCATCATCTTCCCCGTTGTATCAAAACGAATGAAACGGAAGATAATAAATACCAGGAATGTTAATCAGTTATACAAAACCATGAAAGAATGTATACACGCTGATGCCCTAGAAGCACTGGGGCGATATGAAAAGATCGGACAACAAAATCCATATTGGTGATATCAAGATATTTCGCAGAAAATAACACAGAAAAGAAAATTGTATTAAAAATATCTGAACACAAGAAATGTGGAAGACGAATCGACGAATCGACGAATTCGACGAAGAATCGAATAAAAAAGAATGCAAGCAATATTCCCTCTGTACTTGTTGGTACTAATAACAAAATTATTGTAAATGAGCAAGAAATAAGAAAAGAATGGCAGCTGTATATATCAGAGTTGTTTGAAGATGACAGGAATAATATTGCCGAATTCTACTAAAACTGTACTGACGGCACAGAAATTATGAAATGCGAAGTAGAACATGCTATAAATAATGCTAAAATTGGAAAAGCCTGTGGTCTAGATGATACACCAACTGAGTTGCTGAAACTATAGTTTATTTTTATGAACGAGAGAGTAATTAGCATAATTTTAACTGGTACCTTCGACCACTCCATGGGCGTGCTCAAGATTAATTGAAAAATTACTTTGAATAATAATGTAAAAAATAAATGAATTATTTCAGTGTTATAAAGTGTTATGTGTATGTAAACAAAAGTGACCTCTTTTATCACACACTATATTAGAACTGACTGGCCTACATTAAAAAGGGTTTTAAAAAATTCACATTTTTTTAATTTTTAAAAATTACAAAAGAGAAAAAGAGTTTTTAAAACCGTCTAAGGTATGTTAAATAGATGAATAAAAATATTAATATAAAACTTACAGCTACTTGTTACAAATCCAAATCAGATTCAGAAGATGAACTTTCAGAACCAAGATTTATAATAACTGGCTCAATCATTTTATCAGTAATATTGTCCAGCTTCCACATTTTTTTCCTCTTCTTTAATAGTGTGATTTACTGCCTTTTCCCAGTTTTCAGGTTTTACATTATCTACGGCCTCCAAAAACAACTGTTTAACATCATGAATTTTAAAAGTGGTATTTTTTCTTGAAACTTCACTCTTTATCTGTGCCTATACCAGTTCAATCGGGTTTAATTCACGATGATATGGTGGAAACCTAAGTACTGGCATTCCACGATTTTTGGCAATTTCATCAATTTCGTATTTTTTAAATTTTTCTTTATGAAGGGTACACAACGAATAAAGTTCCTTTCTTATAGATCCGGGATGGTACGTAATATTTTTTGAACTCAGCCAATTCTGCAAGTCTTTTTTTAACCACTTGGTTGTGGGCAGTCCTTCTATAAGTCTCGAGTGATAACTTGCATTATCCATTACTATTACACAGTTCTTAGGAAGAAGATCTATCATTTGTTCGAACCATTCTTGAAAGACATCAGCGTTCATGTCTTCATGGTAGTCACCGGTACGAGTTGATTCAAAAGTTAATAAACCACCTTCAACAAAACCGTCTGAACTGCCAATGTGTACTATTATCAGCCTGCGTCCCTTTCCTTATGGTGGGTTTAAACCAGTAGATAAGTTATTTACAAAAGCGTGCTTTTAACTTGTAACAGTTTCATCCTGCCAAAATTTATTTGGTGTATGACCCTCGTTGATCCATGTTTCATCAAGATAAAATATTTTTCTTTTTTGGTTTCTCATTTCCTTTATGGTTCTTAGAAAATGTCTTCTCCATATGACAATATCGCTTCTTTCTAATAAAATAGACTTTCTTGGATTCTTTTTCCAGCGGAAGCCTATTTCTTTTAAAAGTTTCCATAACGTACTTCGACTCATTTCTGGGTAATCCTTATCATCTCGAACTGAGACAAGAACTTTATCCAATGTTGAAAATTCTTGTCTAAAGAAGAATTCATGCACTTTCCGTCGAAGTCCTTCTTTAAAATGATATTCTATTTGAAATTTTGGTTTCCCTGGAGCATTACGTGGCATTTTAAAACTACCACATTTCTCTTCTTTAATAACTCTGTAAATCGTAGATTTCCCAACACCAAGTGTACTGCTAACTAACTCAACGGTCTCATCAACACTTTCACATAAACGTTTGTCTGTAAATGATTTAAAACAATTAAATATTAATGTTTTTTCATTAACTGTTAAAGGACCAATTTTTCGTCGTTTACACGGCACTTCCAAATTTTCCATAACACTAGTATACACAATAAACTGCACCTTGCAACTGAAGTACCTACTTTTAGTGAACTGTTAAGAATTTTGAATACGCCACTTGGACCTTCCTACAAAATGGAAAAACCCACTATCACATTTTCTGTGGAATAAGTTTAGAAGGTAATTATCTAGTCAATTACTGTCGTAGATTCCTGGAATTAAAGAATTAAATGTTTGATTGTTGAAACCCTTACTTCGTGGAATGCACTCATTTCAGATAAAATAAAACGTTTTATTTTATCTAAAGAATTAAACTTTATTTTGCAAATAGGTAGGTACTTATTAAACTTTTATTGGTTATATATAACCAATAAAATAAACATCTTACATTTCTTGCAAATTCATTAGTACCTGTTAACCTCCATCACTCCGACACTGGCAAATTTATTTAGGGATTACTAACCCTCACAACTATTGTATTCTATTCTGCTCCAACCTTTATACCTGGTAGTCATACTCAATTTAAAATTGTTTTCCTATATACTTCTGTAAACTTGTTGACAAATATCTGTTTTTCATTGAGTCATCCGTATCAACAGTTTAGGGATTTGCATACATAATTTATTGTTTTATTACTCTCTCATACATAAAAATACACTATAATAGGGAATGATAACATAAAAGTAGTAGTAAGACCTTTTAATTCAATATATTATAACACCGGAGTGATTCCCGCAGATTGGCTCAAATCCATCAAATGCATCGCAATACCTAAAAAACACAATGTAGGAAAATGCTTAGAATATCGATTAACTAGCCTAATGAGCCACACTCTTAAAATGTTCCTCAGAATACTTCACAACAGAATTAGACGCCAATGCGAAGAAGATCTTGAAGATATTTAATTTGGTTTTAGAAATGCTATGGAAACCAGGGAGGCACTTTTTGCGCTTAACATCCTATTACAGAAATGCCGTGACCAAAGAAAAGATGTATTTGCATTTTTCGTGGACTTCGAAAAGGCATTCGATAAAGTACAGCATGTAAAATTAATGCAAATACTGAAAAATATCGGAATAGATGACAAGAATATTCGTGTCATTAAAAATTTGTACTGGAATCAAGCTGCTATCGTAAAAATTGGAGATAATTACACCGATGAAATCCCCATACAACGAGGAGTCAGACAAGGTTGCATTTTGCCGCCAACATTGTTCAATGTTTACTCGGATAAGTTATTTAAAAAGGCACTTGAGGGACAACCATATGGAATAAAAATCAACGGGGAACTACTTCGTGTTATTACATATGCAGACGATAAAGTTATTCTATCAGATAATATTGAAGGTCTTCAAATTCTGCTTGATCGTATTCACGAGATAGGAGAGGAAATGCGCATTAAAATAAACTCAAAAAAACCAAATTTTTGGTGTTTAGGTCGTGACCCACATCCCGATGCAAAGCTTCAATTGAACGTAGTCCAAGTTGAAAGAGTTCACAAAATGACATATTTGGGAACTGTGATAAAGGACCAACTAGATCCAGACATAGAAATAAGACGTAGAATAGCAATGACTAAAACTACTTTTATGAAAATGAAGTCATTTCTTTGCAATAATCATTTCAGTTTAGAACTAAGACAAAGAATGGTTAAGTGCTATGTTTGGTCTGTACTTTTGTATAGTGCAGAAGTGTGGACGCTAAAAGTATCGATTATGAATAAAATTGAAGCATTGGAAATGTGGGTTCATAGACGAATGCTGAAAATACCTTGATTAACAAGAAAAACTAATGAAGAAGTACTAAGGAGCGTCAACAAAGACAGAGAACTGCTAAAGACTGTTAAACATCGAAAAATGTCTTATCTGGGACATATAGTAAGGGAAAGTCGATATAAAATTTTACAAGTGATCCTTAAAGGCAAAATAGAGGGCCGTAGAGGTGAAGGCAGAAAACAAGTTTCTTGGTTAAAAAACATTCGTGAATGGACTAAGACACCAAATGCAGGACAATTATTCCATATTGCAGAAGATCGAGAAGCCTTCGCAATGGTGATCGCCAACGTCGGATAAATTTGATATGGCACGCGAAGAAGAAGAAGTGTACTTTTCTCATCTTTTACCAAATGTATACTTGTACCCCTTTGCTCGATTACCAACGAATTATAAAATGAAAGCCCTATGCTTATTACGTAATAAATACTTACGAGCCATACTTGCGCAGTTTTTTTCATAAGTATCACGATCCAAATCAAATGTACTAAACTTATAACCTTGATGATGTTCAAAACAGTCGCCGGTTGTATTACCACTATATCCCGATAGAGTTTGCAATTTATATCCCTCATATTCAGATCCTATTCCAAAATTTGTATATCTAGAATAATACTTTATCAAATTATGGTCAGTGATTTCTATAAACAACTCATTTCTTGTAGTACCTGAAAAATATAAATAGTTTCAATCAACATATTTTACTTTGTCATTTATAATCTAGATGTTTGTTTGTAGAATATTTTTGTATTTACTGTTGTTTGTAATTTATATATATATATATATATATATATATATATATATATATATATATATATATATATATATATATATATATTAAATGGCCAACTATATGGCCTAGGAGACAAATTCGTTAAACTTCCCGTGCTCGAATTGGTATCACTAAAGTGTTATGATACGTCTTAACTACACCGGTAGTGAAGATTGGGAGACATTCGTTTTACTTTCCGTGTTTGAATTTGTATCAGCCCAAGTGTCTGACGATGGCTGGGATAGGCCGAAATGATCATAACACTTTAGTGATACCAATTCGAGCACGGGAAGTTTAACGAATTTGTCTCCTAGGCCATATAGTTGGCCATTTAATACATACAGCGATAGCGGCTTTCGCTAAAAGATTTAATTCTTATATATATATATATATATATATATATATATATATATGTTATATATATATATATATATATATATATATATATATATATATATATATATATATATATATAAGTGAACACAATTTATAAAAATTCCATGCGCTAATTGCGATTTATGTTACATTGGTCAAACTGGTAGATCATTAAAAGGTCGTCTCACTTCAGATCGTAGTGACATTAATTTATCAAACTTGTGCCCTGGCACAACACGCGATAAATACAAAACATGAAGTGGATTTCAATGAAGTTAAGATCCTTGTCACTGAACGCAATCTAGCTAAAAGACAGTTTTTGGAAATGTGTACAATATTAAAACACCCTAATGCTTTGAATAAGAGAACTGACATAAGTAACTTGAGCCAAATATATCAGAATTATATTATATTTTGCAGGATTAGGCTACTTGATCTTTTCATTACAATAATGTCATATTAGGTGTACTGTTTGAACCTTTTTCCATTTTCATAAAATAATTTATATACATAAAATAGAAATAAAATACATAAATATCTCAATAAAATAATTTAATATTCTTTACTTAATTTACTATTACATATGCAACTTACATTGCATTTCCATACACTGATTACTTTGATTAGTGTTAATAATTTTATACTGAAATAATACAAATATTGTAATTGATTCATAGAATCCTTTGCAAATCACAGTTCCAAGTATATTGAACCTTGGGCTGTTTGGAAATTAATGGATCGTTAACCACCTGTGGCTGTTTAACTAGCCATAATGATTAACGTTATTACATACTTATGAGGTTGAATGAAAATCTCCTGTTTGTAAATCTGGACTGATTAGTGAGGAGAGTTGCTATTACACTACCAACTTTTTTCACTGTGTTGTCTTTTACAACCGGGTAGTCATCCAAACTCATTTAAACTGAAATTGACCGCCCAAAATTTGGGTTGGTACCTACACCTTGTTGATCTGTCGAAAGTATTTTTGACCTGTAGGTTGGCTGTCTTTTCGCGGTTTAGTTCGTTCCTGTTTCATTTAACGCCATTTTCCCGGCGACATTTATAGGGCTTTGATCGGTAACTTCATTTATACTATTTTTTAAAATTTTATTAATATCACTTATAATGCTACCTAAAGTTAAAATCAAAGCTTAATATTCATTAAATAGTTGGAAGTTATCTATGATTTTCTTCGTTCTTTCTCACTAATTAACATTAAATAACATTTAATTTACTTTAGACCACATGGTCATTTGCTGTGCTAATTTTATAAGTTCATATATGTTGTTAGTTACTTAACTGTTTATACAAAATCAGCGTATTATGTCCATTTACTTAGTTTAATTCACATTATTGTTAATAACATTGACTGCTACATGTCTTTTTTAAGGTAACAATTAACATCGTTTCCATGATTGTGTGGTTCTCATATTGTAAAATTTTTTAGATGAACTGATGATGCTTTCAAAACTCGAAAGCGAAACGTCTTCAAAATAGATAAAGTAGCCTATCAACTTTGTCTTTTATTTCTCCACCTAGAGACCGATATAAGAACCCACCACTCGTCTGAGTGATCCTTATATATATATATATATATATATATTATATATATATATATATATATATATATGTATATATAGAATTTAACCTACGAAAAAAAGAATCCCTTGAAGAATATACACACAAAACAAAGACATTATCGTACTTCCAGCTGACAACGGCAAGGCTGCTGTCATAATGAACATTGAAGACTACGACACAAAAATAAAGAACATACTAAACGATAGTGCATATCAAAAAATCGCAACAGACCCAACAACATATCTAGAGAAAACAACTAAAGCCAAAATACAAGCGTCAAACATAAAGAAAGAACAGCAGTTCCAGCTTATTCCACGAGAAAAGTCGTCAAGATGTCCAAAACTGTACAGTTTACCCAAAGTTCATAAGGCAGAGTTACCATTACGACCAATAGTCAGCTCTATCGGATCACCGCTACAATCACTGGCAAAATTTCTGGCTGACCAGCTACAACCGTATGCAGAGAAAGCGGATTCTTACGTCAAGAATGCAAGCCACTTTATCGACCGTATCAAGGATGTTAGTTTGGAACCTGAACACTTATTAGTGAGCTTTGACGTAGTCTCATTAATCACAAATGTGCCAGTAGAAGAATCATTAGAAATTTTACGTAGAAAATATCCAGTACCACAGGATACACTAAACCTGACAAGGCACTGCTTAAATAACACCTATTTTATCTACAAGGACCAGAGGTACAAACAAGTTGAAGGTTCATCACTGTCACCCGTAATGAATGGAATCAAAAGCAATAGAAACAGCAGAGCCTAAACTCAAACTGTGGCTTAGGTATGTTGATGACACATTTATTATCTGGACGCATCTAGAAGAGAAACTTAACGAATTCCTACAACACAATAATAATATCCATCCAAAAATACATTTTACCATGAAACGGGAGAATAACCAACAACTTCCATTCCTAGATGTGTTAGTTATTAAGAAAGAAGACGGAAGCATAGGACACACAGTATACCGAAAAGCAACTCATACTGACAGATACTTACACGCAGACTCACACCATCATCCTGCACAATTAAATTCGGTAATAAAAACCTTAATAACAAGATCTGAAAAACTGGCAGATAAGGAACATAAGAACGAAGAAATGCAAAAAGTCAAAACAGCTCTAAGAAAAAATGGCTTCTCCATGTCTACGATTAAAAAGGCACAGAAATCTCGAAACAAAATCAAAGATCCAGAAGCAGAAGAAGAAAAACCAGTCGGAAAAACTATCCTGCCGTATATAAAGGGTACGACAGACAAAATCCGCAAAGTGCCACGAAAAAACAAAATAGAAACTATTTTTAACACCGACAAAAAAATCACAACCATCTTACCATCGACAAAAACAAAAGTTGCATTGGAAAATCAAGGTGTATACAGAATCCCGTGTGAGGACTGCTATAAATCGTACATCGGACAGACAAATCGAAGAATACAAATTAGACGCGAAGAACATCGAAACGCCATAGAAAGAAAACAGAAAACTTCATCTCTAGCACAACATGCCATACACACAGGACACAAGATAGACTTAAATGGAACAACAATGCTAGCCAACATCGAAAATAAGGCCAACATCGAAACCAATTCTGCAGAAAAAAATAGAAATTAAAATAGCGAACAAGACCCCGCCCACTCTGCGCACAGGACCAATCACAAGAAGTGCTACAAGAAATTTAAACTCAACGTGCAGCGACCGAGAAATCAGTTCTCCTGAAACATCAAGACGAAGCAGAACTAATCTGACTTGACAATGGCAAGTGCGACCTTGCCGAAACGTCGTCAAACCAATGGTTTTTCTAAAAACCAAAACTATTTAACGCGGAGTCAAACCTGGAAAACAACTGAAATCATATATATGTATGTATATATATATATATATATATTATATATATATATATATATATATATATATATATATATATAAATATATATATATATATATATATATAAATATATATATATATACATATATATATATAAATATATATATATATATAATATATATATATATATATATATATATATGTATATATATATATATATATATATATATATTATATATATATATATATATATATATAAACTTGCGTGCATAGAAATCGGCCCACTGTAAACTTTTGACTTTAACAATATTTTTTCAAGAAATATTCATCAGATCATAAAAACAAATATACTGTTTGAAAGACAATTTAATATGCTTTAATGTGAGTATAAATTTATGAAAACATTTCGGCTTCCTATGTTTAATATAGTGAAATGAATTCATTAAGCAAACTAAGCTTTTTTATTATTAACATATATAGGGTTATTGACAATTTAAAACTTAACACTTAATTTTTTAATATTGGATATGACCTCCTCTTGCCCTAATAACATCTCTCATACGATTAGGCATAGATCTAATCAAGTTTGCTATTGTTGCTTGTGGGATGTTAAGCCACTCTTCTTTTGCTGCAACAATAAGCTCTGGGATCGAGTCTGGGGTATAAAGTCTAGCTCGAATTTTCGTTTTAGCTCATCCCATAAATGTTCAATCGGATTTAGGTCAGGACATTTTGCTGGCCAGTCTATAACCTGAAAACCGACTTCTGCAATGTAATCTTGCACGATTCTTGCCGTGTGTGCCCTTGCATTGTCATGCATAAAAATAAATTCGTCTCCAATGTAGTCGACGTAAGGTACCACATGAATTGCTTAAATCTCCTCGATATATCTAGCAGCCGTAATTCTTTCGTGAACACGGTCGTCCCTACGAATGAACTCCATTGCATTTATGAAATGCACTTTTTTTTTATTCATCTCTTCTAAGTCGTCACTGTGTTTCCCCAAATATGTATTCTAATGCTGTTCAATACCCAGCACTTCGTTTGCCGTTTTGTTTATTTTTTCCTTTAGGTGTTGATACATTTCTATTGGGGTCCATTGTTCGTTCATCTGTAGCATATTCTGTAGCCTATTCTGATATAGTGTTCGAGTACTAAATAGTTGTAAAAGTTCTACTTTATACCTCCTATTTGCGATTTTTTGCATCTCCTCATCTTTCTGGATATTGTCTTTTTGTCGTCTTCCTGTGTATATGAATTTTCCTAGCACTAATCGGTGGTTACTTGCACATTCTGCTTGTCTGTATACTCTTACATCTTGTATTATCGTTTTGCTGGCTTTTCTTACTATTATTAAATCAATAATTGATCTTTGGATTCTACTAGGTTCTTCCCATGTGTATCTATGTATGTTTTATGCTAGAATCTTGTGTTGGTCATGGCTAAATCGTATTCTCGACATATTTCGATTAGCCGACTTCCATTGTCGTTTCTAATTTCGTCTTCTCCGAATCGTCCCGCTATATCTTCATCATTCTTTCCTATGTGGCTATTAAAATCTCCAATTAGTAGAATATCTTTTTTTCCTTTGTCCTGTCTAATACATCTTTTAGTGCGTTGAAAAAATCTTCCTTTTCCCTTATGGTCGCATTGTCATTCATTGCATATACTCAAACAATTGTTGTTGGTTGTCCAAATGTGTTTATCCTAATTTTCATTATTCGTTCATTTATTTGCTGGTAATATTGTATGAATTTTCTCCATGTATTTTTTATTAATATTGATACTTCTTTTGCGACTTTTTCATGTTTGCAAACTCCACTCCATATGTGTGTATATTTCCCTATAATTTCCTCTCCTTGACCTTTTTTTTGTTTCTCTTAAGACTATTATGTCTGTGCCTAGTCTTTCGATTTCTAGGATTATTTCATTTTATTTAAATGCGATTCCTTGTATACTCCACGTTCCTTCTCTTATAGTCCTTTTTCTTCGCCTAAGTCGTATATCCTTGTTTCCGTCCAAAATCCGAGGCTGTGTTGGATTGGTTTTTGCATAATGGCTTTTTCCGAGTGTCGGAATCATCTTCCTTTAATCAAAAATCATTTCCATATTCAAACTAAACTCATTATCGGTAAATCCATCCAGGGAACTGGGAGAGAAAAAATAGGTTTCAATGGTTTCCCCTTTATGGTATTAGGAGATAAACCAAGGCTCGCGTGGTCAGGGGCGCATCCCTGAAGTAGATCTGTCACCTATCGGGATCATAGATGAGTAATAATTTTTTCTTTGCCTTTTCTCCTGTATATATATTGCTATTAAATTTAAAAAAACTTTGAATCAAGATTTTAGTAAAATAATATAACACTCGCTTACCTGTAAATTGATGCATATTTTCTAAACCCAACCAAAATTCACCTTTAAGATTTCCAAATCCGAATTTATAGTCTCTATAAGGTCTATTAAAATCCTCGGATCCGTCAAATCTCTTTTGAATGTGTGTCCATCCACCTCCTGCAATTTCCATGTCGCATAAAACCGTTAGCGTTTTTTTATTACCTGATGGTAGAATTTTGTATACTCCAGAATTTTTGTAACCTTAAATAATCAAAACTTTATTAGAATGATTTGGGAAATTATATAATTTAAGATACTAGGAAGCACGTTACAAAAATCAGTCTATATTTTATAATCGGCTGACAATGCATCCATATGCATATAAAATCGCGTATAGACCTACAAACGCATGCGGTGAGCAGCCACGAATACACATACGTGTGCAAATGTGGACTGTGCTTTCGTAACCTCTCGCCGCATGCGTTGCTTCTCGCGAATGACTTGAGCACACATGCTGCGAGCCAGAGTGTTGTCGGTTTTTTAGCACACATCAAAGAAACATACGTGTGCGTTCGCGCTCAGTTTGGACGGATAGCGTGGGAATTCGTTGCATTTGTAAGACAAGTTCAGATTTATTGAGTTTTATTTATTTTATTGATCTATCTATCTATATATGGATTTTTACAGCTGTCGCCATCTTCCTTCTTTCAGCCAACGTCTCCAGTCCTTTCTGTTCTGCCATTCTCCATCTCTAAGGTCTCGTCTTTCCATGGCCTTTTCCGCTTTATCCCTCCATGATCATCGGGGTCTACCTCTTTTCCTCCTTCCTATTGGGCTCCAATCCGAAATCTTTGCTATCCACCTTGTATGATATGTTCTTCTCACATGTCCATACTAAATTAAACGTTTTTCTTCGATGTAGCTTAGTATGTCTTGTTCTACTGCCATTTTTTGTTTTATCTCCTCATTTCTGATGCGATCTATTTTTGTCACTCTGCAGCTTCTTCTCATAAACTCTATTTTAGTTGCTGTGATTTTGGACCTGTTTCGTTTATTTATTACCCAATTCTCTGCTCCATAGGTCATTATACTGCGTACCAAGGTGTTATAAATTCTCTTCTTTGTATTTCTGGTAATCTGTCTATCCCACAGTACCCTGTTTATTTGCTTAATACATGTTCTTGTCTGTGCTAATCTGCTGATTATCTCTTGCTCGGTGGTTCCATTTTTTGATAGTATGAATCCTAAATATTTGAATTTTTCGGTGCCGTTAATTTCCATATCATCGTCCATTTCCAAGTTTCTCACTGGTTCTTGATCTGTTGTTAAATATTCAGTCTTTTCTAGTTTTTTTTTCAGTCCATTTTTTGTATATTCCTTTTCTAATTTTTGGAGCATATAGCACAGATCTTCTTCATCTTGAGCCGTTACAACTTGGTCATCTGCAAAGCTTAATGTGTACAAGAAGTTGTCCCGGATTGGTATTCTCATATCTTGGTGTCGAAGATGTAGACGATCCCTGCAATAAGCCTTTTGTGGTCTTAAATTCGTTGGAGTATTTCTTGCCGATTTTAACTCTTACTTTGTTGTTGTTGTAAAGGTTTTTTACGGCTTCTATTAATCTCTGTGTTATTCCGATTTCCTTCATCGTGTTCCATAGTTGTTTTTTTTTTGGAACCGTGTCATATGCCATTTTTAAATCTATGAATGCCATATGTACTGGTCAATTTTTTGCCATTTTTTTTTCAAATAATTGTTGGAGTATATAATGTGGTCTACGCAAGATCTTCCTGCCGTGTGATTTTATTGATTTATGTGTAAAATGGAGTGGTCAAATTAACAATGTTTGCAATTAATAGATTTGTATGAAGAAAATCCTATATTATGTTATCAGTAAACGTTCCTTAACATGTATGAGTTTTCTTAAGACTGTGTCGTTTTTCTTTATTACGGGGCCTATATCATTTAAAAGGCGTTCAAAGTCTTCTACTGATATACGTGTAAAATTTTGAATTTGTCCAGTATTAGGTTCTAACGCCGGAATTAGAAAACAGGAAAAATGCTCACATACTTAAAAGCGCGGACGGAAAAATTTATGATCACGAACAACAGTGCAAAGAATGGGAGAGATACATCACTGGCATTTTTGACGATGCTTCTAGAGAAAATGCTCCAAATACTGCCTGTGACAACCAGTTGGACAGAGGTCCCAATATACTGAATTCGGAAGTCGAAAAGGAAATACAGCAAGCCAAAAACAATTAAGCACCTGGACCAGATCAAATCCCTGCCGAACTACTTAAACTTTTGGATGAGGAAAGCATTGCCTGCTTAACCACTTTCTTCAACAAAATTTACAACGAAGGAAAAATACCAGATGATTGGTTAGAGTCACTGTTTATAACATTACCAAAGAAAAGCAGGCCCACCAAATGCAGCGATTTTAGACTAATCAGTTTGATGAGTCATACACTGAAGATACTCTTACGAATTATACAAAACGAGTATTCCTTCTATGCGAAAATAAGATGGGTGATAAGCAATTTTGATTTAGAAACGGTCTAGGAACTAGAGAGGCACTATTCTGTATGCGCGTTCTATTACAAAAAAGTTGTGAATTCCGAAAGAATGTTTATGTTTGTTTCATCGACTTCGAGAAGGCGTTCGACAGAGTCCAACACAATACACTTTTCGACTGCCTACGGGCAGCAGGACTTGACCACTATGATATAAGACTGCTGAAATACTTATATTACAATCAAGTAGCCTCTATCCAAATTGGAGACAGTCCCACTGAAAAAATACCCATCAAACGTGGAGTACGGCAGGGTTGTGTTTTGTCACCCACTCTTTTTAATCTGTACTCTGAAGAAATCTTTAGGGAGGCTTTGGATGACAGACAAGAGGGAGTAAGACTAGGTGGAGAAGTAATCAACAATATTAGATACGCTGACGATACAGCCATTCTTGCAGAAAGTTTACAAGATCTCCAAACATTACTAAATCTAGTCAGTGAAGCAAGATATCGGAGAGGCCTAAAAATCAACATTTCAAAGACAAAGTGGATGGCAGTTGGAAAGATCCATATAGATCAAGGTCTGCTTTCTCTTAATGGAGAAGAGATAGAAAGGGTAAATCATTTAAAATACCTTGGCAGCTGGTTAAATGTAAATTGTGACTCTGATGAAGCGATAATATCGAGGATCAAAATGTCACGTAAGGCTTTTATGACCTGGAAACCAGTTTTATGCAACAGAAACCTGTCAATGAATATTCGTAAGACGGTCCTGAAATGTTATGTGTGGTCGATCCTATTGTATGGTTGTGAGACATTGACGTTAAAAACCACAATGCTAAACAAGTTAGAAGCATTCGAATTGTGGTGCTATAGACGAATCCTAAAGATATCGTGGGTTTCGCACACTTCCAATAAGATGTTCTTCAAATGATCAATTCAGAACGTCTGCTCATAAACACCATAAAGAGGAGAAAAACAGAATACTTCGACCATATAATTAGAGGACCTAAATACCATTTACTTCGCCTTATAATACAAGGAAAAGTGAAAGAAAAGAGATGGATTGGTCGAAAGAAACTTTCATGGCTGCGTAATATTGGACAATGGTGTGGTTTCACAGTAGAAAAATTATTTCGCGCAGCAGCCGACAGAGAAAGGTTTCAGGAAATTGTAAACATGATGGTAAACAAAGAAGAAGAAGGTTCTAACGATAAATCTACTAGTAAATCGGACTTCATTTGTAGGGTTCTTCTTTTAAATCAATACGTCGTCCACAATCGCCTATTTTTCCTTTGTTTTTTCTTTTTTAATGAACTAATAACCCAAAACGCGGCACTAACCATAAGCAGCTCCCCAGACATTTTTTCACGAATGGATGGAGCGCCTTGAGCACGCATACATATGCGGTGATTTCCAATTTCAACGAATGCTCTGAGCGCGAATGGTTTGAGTACGCACGCATATGCGTGGCTTCTCACCGCATGCGTGTGCTAGTCTGTACGCGCCTTAAGACTTAACAGCAGGTGTATCGAAACGAGAGAGGTGATATGCTAAACCAGTTCTGCTAAGAAGAAAAATGAGTCATTTCAAATACCTGGTACAAACTTCCACCTCAAAGACTGTACACGTGGCAGTCTCCACAACATACGCATGACAACATCGTGGGAAATCAAATAGATTTTTTATTGATAAACCAGAGATACAGAAATGGATTGAAATGAGTAATACAGATACAGATATCGGATCTGATTACAATCCCGTAGTAGGAAAATTTAAAATTATGCTTAAGAAAATTTAAAGAAAACCCATAAAGAAAATTGATATAAACAGCTTAAAACAACTTAACGTTAAGCTAAAAGTCACAGAAAGATTAAATGAGGCAATAGCAGATATCACGACAAGATTTAAACAACCGGCCAGTATAGAAGACACATGCAATTGTATTAAAAAAGCTATCGTAACCACCATCAAGTCTCTGATCGCTTCTCAACAGTACAAAAATGACAAAACAATGACAGATAGTACTAACAGCGACTACTTCATTTTAAATTTTTTAGTGGGAATATAAATAGGTGTATGTTTGGTTGCCTACACCACAGGTAACTGCCAATCACAGAGAGTTTAATAAATTTATTCAAGGAAAGTATGTTGTGGTGCTTATAATGAAATCGTACATTAATAGAAAATCATTCATTAATAGGGGTCATTAATCAACGATTTTGAGGGTGTTAAAATTGATCATAAATGGACGGTCAACGGAAAAATTGTATTAGATATATGTCTTGTTACGTAATGATACATCAGTTTAATATCCAATGGTGTATTTTAACCATTTTGGTCAAAAATGGATTTAGTGGACTTTGAAACCAGACAACTCATACGTGAAAACATTTTTTATGTACGCTAGAAAGATTATCAATTTCTAATAGATTTTGTTCTAGCAAGAGGTAGCAACTGATTTTAGAAAAGATGAATTGTATTGTTTTCACCAATCTAGTTTCTGGTTATAAATAAATTATATTGACTTCACTAACTTTTTAAAACGAATTTATACATTACCATTGTTGTAAACCTCCTTACAATTCTTTGGCAGATTTATGTTGGTATTTATATTTTCTGTAATTGGACAATAGTTTCCTTTACTTATTCCAACCAAAAATTGACAAGAATCAAGAAAACCACTGGTTAATTCTAAAAAAAATAAAATATTGAATTAATATCGTAAAAATAACATTTTGCTCTCATAATTATTCAGTAATTGGAACAATCAAATCACGAGGATTACTTACTTACTCCGTGGCGTTACAACCCTTCGTGAGTTTTAGTCGACCTCGTCTTTGGTGAAATCTAGTCCCATTTCATTGTACATTGCTTTACATCATAAAACTCAGTGAAATCCATATCTTTAACAGTTAAAGGAGCTCCTGATTTTTAAGCATTCCTAATTAATTCAACGTATTGCTCAGGAATGTATATTGGCCCTGATTTTTTTGCCCTCTTCACTGCTTTTTCTATTATGCTGTGGACTGAATCACCTTTATTTTGGGTGTAACCGCGAACAAGGTACTTGTGAATAATAGAATTGATGTCCAAAGTATTGACTGGCCTTTGAATCTGGGTGTATCGGTGGATGGAGTTCGTAACAAAGTTGTTTTGCATCGGATTTTGCAAACTTGAATATATTGACCATGTTATGCGCCACGTAGAGAGATATAGTATACTCCATTTAATAATAAAAGGCAAGGTAGACGAAAGAAGAGGGCCAGGTCGAAGAAGAACGTCATGGCTTGAAAACCTGAGATATTGGTTTAACAGATCCCCTGCATCTCTTTTCCGAGCTGTCGTCAACAAAATTACTATAGTCAACGCTCGATAATCGAGCACGGCACATGACGAAGAAAGTGTTTTGACTGCAAACAGGTACATGGCTATTAGAAATTTATTTTTTGTTGGCCTCCACACTTATCGGAATAAAAAATCACATCAACTCCTGGGTTGGTTATTGAGAATTCTTTTAGATAATAAACGCCCAATTTCTATTGCGCCTCTATTCCCCATTACTTTATATCAAAAGTAACAGCTAGCTTTACCACTTTCACAAGCGCTATCTGTTTCGGAGACTTGGTCTTTTTTCGCCTTTGCTTCTACTACTGTAAAGTTATAACAGTTTAAGCGAGATTTGTAAAAAAATGCAGAACTTTTTCCTCTTGGTACAAGTAACACTGCTTGTACATTATAAGTAGCCAGGATGTATATTGTTATCAGAATTTTTTGTTTTCAGTTTATCGTTAGTTTTTTTCGTTACAACTTAGATCCTTTTCCTCAGAAAGTAACTTTCAATGGTTGTTTGCATTTTTTTCTTTTTCTTATGCTTCGGCATTTAAAAAAGATTCGCATTGGTCACAAAGATCTTTTTTCGGGATAAAAAACCCTTTATTAAATTCGCTATTGAAAATACGGGAATAACAGTCGTAGGTTTCTGACTCTTCTTTTTGCTTCTTGCCACCGTCTATATATTGCCTCGAAGAATCACTTCGAAGACTTTCAACTCGTGGAATTGAATTTATATGGCTACGAATAGAATCCAAACTTATGTCACTTATTTTCTTGTGACTCTCGTGCTACCCACGATTATCTTCTGGTATAATAGTTTTTTCACTTTACTGTGAACGTATTAATGAGAAACGTTTTATATAACAAAAAGAGATTAATCTTTGTAAATGGGTATATTTATTTAAAAAAACCCTTAAAAGGGCCACATCAATAAACAAACGTTTTCGGACCACACAGTCCATCATCAGGTTTTTAAAATCGAAAAATGCCTAAAAATAAGTATAAACCATTTAGTTAAAACAAACGAGATTGTGAAATTTTGACTATGGTTGAAAAGCAAAAAATGGTTATACTTACTAGGTCACAATGCCCGAGCCACCAAAATACTAGGGTAAAAACCCTTTAAATTACATTTAGTTATGAAAGATTGTACATTGTGTTGTAAAATAACTGTGATGTTCAGTATTAAATTAAATTTGACTAGAGGTAACACATGGCTCAATCGGTTTCCAGAGCCGGTGAGAGAGAACCTCTACACTCGGAGAACAGCTGGGAACTGATTGACAAGATACTTTTGAAGGATGAAGATAACAGAATGTCAATGCAACAAAAACCATAATAGTTGTACATAATATTACTACAGCCAAAAGATTCGACAAGTTTTGATGAGTTTAAAAAATAATAACAACAATCTAGGTGTTGGGATTTAAAAAATTTTTTTATTTATTAATTTAGGGTATAAAAGATGTGAAATCAATGATGGTTTTATAGTCATGATTAATAGAATGACCTGTGCCTTAGGCAACTTATGCTGCTTTTCGTCGTATGGAATGTGTGTGTATTTCGACGAAAAGCAACATAAGTTGCCTAAGGCACAGGTCATTTTATTAATCATGACTATAAAAACCATCATTGATTTCACATCTTTTATACCCTAAATTAATAAATAAAAAAATTTTTTAAATCCCAACACCTAGATTGTTGTTATTATTTTTTAAAATCATCAAAACCTGTCGAATCTTTTGGCTGTAGTTATACTATGTACAACTATTATAGTTTTTGTTGCATTGACATTCTGTTATCTTCATCCTTCAAAAGTATCTTGTCAATCAGTTCCCAGCTGTTCTCCGAGTGTAGAGGTTCTCTCTCACCGGCTCTGGAAACCGATTGAGCCATGTGTTACCTCTAGTCAAATTTAATTTAATACTGAACATCACAGTTATTTTACAACACAATGTACAATCTTTCATAACTAAATGTAATTTAAAGGGTTTTTACCCTAGTATTTTGGTGGCTCAGGCATTGTGACCTAGTAAGTATAACCATTTTTTGTTTTTCAACCATAGTCAAAATTTCACAATCTCGTTTGTTTTAACTAAATGGTTTATACTTATTTTTAGGCATTTTTCGATTTTAAAAACCTGATGATGGACTGTGTGGTCCGAAAACGTTTGTTTTATTGATGTGGCCCTTTTAAGGGTTTTTTAAAATAAATATACCCATTTACAAAGATTAACCTCTTTTTGTTATACGTGGTATACAGCCAGCTACAGGAATTTTTCCTTGTGGATTTTTTTATATAACCGTTCTTGTTTTCCCCTGTTTGTAATGAAAAATGCACAACATATATTTATAGGAGTAGTTTTTGATGTAGAAATACGTCGGCAGCTCAGCTTTTCAAGAACCTTAATGCCCAACACTCTTTAAACTGTGTCTCTCTCAGCTTTTCAGATATCCTATTTGAACATTCAAACGACATTTGTCGGTACACATAGGGTTCCATTTTTTAGCAGCTATAGGATTTTCTGTTCTAGAAGCATACCTCTATCCAGAATTCTTTAGTCTTTTTCTCTTTTCTTTCGACAAATTATCCACATTCTTTTGTCCTTTTTTCCCTTCTTGATTAAGAGAGCATTAGTAAGTGTTGATGTTTGGGGATTTCTTCTTCTTCCTTTGCCCATGAGTTTATCATGTTTGACCTTGTCAAACGCCTTGGAGAAGTCGATGAAGCACAAGTGGACGTCCTTGTGCATGTCTCTACATCTTTGAATTAAAACTTGCAGACTGAAGATCGCCTCTCTTGTGCCCAATGCGCTTCGGAATCCGAACTGTGACTCCGATATATTTGCTTCGCATTTGTTATATATTCTATTGTGTATGATTTTGGTCAAAACTTTGGTAATGTGATTTAACGAGCTTATTAAACGGTGTTGATCACAGTGTTTTGCACTTGGTGTTTTAGGTATGGCTACAAAGGTCGATCGAAGCCATTCCTCCGGAATCTCCCCTTTGTCGTAAAAGGTGTTAAAAAGGTCTGTCAGAAAATCGAGGAAGTGGTCATCCGTTTCGCATAGGAGTTTTATGATCTTGCCCTGTATGTTGTCGGGACCTGGTGTTTTGTCGTTTTTTTAGCGATAAAATGGCTTTTTCCACTCCAGACCTTAGTATTTCGGGTTCAATCATGTCGTCATCTTGGTCCACTGTCGCTCTGCGTTTATCGTTAAAAAGTCGTTCTACGTAATCTTTCCATGTGTCAATGAGCTTCAAGTCGTCTAATATAAGGTTACCGTCTGCGTCTATTAGTGTCGGGTGGGATTATTGGTTTTCTTTTTAGTTGTCAATTCTTTGATCTTTTTGTGCATGTTGTGGTAGTCATATCTTCTATCGCACTCTTCGATTTCATCGCATTTTTCCTTCAGCCAGCGTTTCTTCGCTTCCTTTATCTTTGTTTTTTATATTGTGACTTGTTTCTTGATACTTCACTTGAATTTTTGCATTTGTGTTGTCTTCTTTCTTCCATCATATCAAGGATTTCATCCGTCATCCATTCTTTCTTCTTTGCGCGCTCCTGTAACAGAAGTGTCTTGTTTGTCATTTCAACAGCTTTTTTATTTCTTCCCATTTAGCAACTGCGTCTTGTGCGGGTTCACTCAAGTTTCCAATGTTTCTTCATAAGGATTCCTGTACTTGTTGTTTAATGTTGGGATCCTTTAATTTCCTAATGTTTATCTTGGTTTTTGTTAGGCTTCCCTTCTATACGTTTTAGTTTGATTCCCAGTTTAACCCACCACTGGGTTGTGATCCGATTGAGCGTCAGCCCCGGGATAGGTTTTCACTGAAGTAAAGTCAAGATGGAACACTCAATGCTGCTATAAAAGACAGAAACATACAGGGTAGAAAAGCCATATCCATGATGAACGGGATTCTGTGGGACCAAACAATATCTAAAGCGAACAAACAACTCATATATAAGACCATACTTAAAAGTGTAATCATATATGGCAGTGAAGTTTCGCCAATGAAATAAATAACAGAAAAACTGTTACTAGCAACAGAAATGGATTTCTGGAGAAGAGCAGCAGGAACATCAAGAAATGATCGGCTACTAAATGAGAGAATTCAAGAAATGATGGGAGTCAAGCATACAATAGTTGATGACATAAAAACAAAACAGTTAATATGGTACGGCCATATACAAAGAATGCCAGATAACAGGATTCCAAAACAGATTTTGACGTGGACACCACAAGGAAGAAGGAAAAGGGGAAGGCCGAGAAGAAGCTGGAGAGAGAAAATTGAAAAAGAACTAGAGGAAAGAGAAATCCCTCCAGGCCTATGGCTGAATAGAGAAGAATAGCGGTTAGGAATCGACAGGCGTTGGAGAACGCTGTAAACCGATAGTAGTAGTAGTAAGATACACATATGTCAATGTTGCTTTACAATAAGAAGAAATACATATGAAAAAGATACAGAATATGTTTCCATGTATTTGTGAAAAAACCTTAGAGCTACAATAACATAAAATACAATTGCGTTAATGTAGCACCGTAGGTACAAGCACACACTCGAACCATCGAAGCACAACTTTACATTTTGTCATTGTTTCGCCTAGATCGGCTAATTTTTCAATCATGACGCATCTGCTCCCTAGTAGCTTAAAGCTGAACAACACGTTTGACAAGTTTGGACCCAATGACGACATAAACTCATTTTCGATAAATTTGCAGTTACGTCAATATTCCACCAGGACAGTGATATATACAGGGTGAGTCATAACTATTGGGACATAGACCAAGGACAGGTTATTTGGACCAAAATATCGCTATTGGGCCAAATATGCCTTAATAAAATGTTGCTGAGAAAAAAGATACAGGGTGTTAAAGATATTTTTTGTTTTTCGTTTTTTGCTAATAGTTTCCCTGTATATTTATAAATTGCACCAAAATTGGCACAGAGGCATAATTTTAGACAAGAAATAGTATTTTACTTACAATTCCACTATCAAATACCGCACTAATAAACAAAGTTGCAACTAACGTAACGTTTCCGTTTTGACGATAAATCAAAACGAAACACACTTTAACTTAAAAAAACTTACAAAAACTCAAACTAAATGTTTTACATGGTCTCCTCCGATTTCTATGCCTTTTCTAATTCTTTTTATAAAGGATTTTCGAACGTTAAAAAAATATTATTCTGTCCCCTTATAAGATTAGCTGCATTTTGAATGTATCTCCAAAGTTCGTCTCGTGTATTAACTTCATTGGCATAAACTAAGGACTTCATATGTCCCCAAAAATAAAATCTAGCGGGTATTACTCTGGACTTCTTGGTGGCCCTTGAAAATTAATGCCTCTGCCTATCCATCGTTGAGGAAATACGTCATTAAGATGATTTCTAACAGCTAATGAAAAATGAGGTGGCGCTCCATCCTTCATAAACCACACTTTTCTTCTTACATCCAATGACAGATCATCTAAAATATCACTAAGAGTATTTTCCAAAAATAATAAATAAGAATCTCCATTTAAATTCGAAGGAAGAATATAAGGCCCTAGTAGTTGGTCGCCTATAATGCCACACCAAATATTCAATTTAAACTCATGCTGAAAATGTCTAGCTTTAATAGCATGCGGGTTTTCTTCTTCCCAATAATGACTATTTCGCCAATTAAAAACCCCTCGTCTGTTAAAAGTTGCTTTGTCGGTGAACATAATATTCTTAATTAAGTGTCTGTCATTGCGATGTTTATTCAGAATACGTTGGCAAAACTGTAACCGTCGTGGAAGATCTGTTGGAAGTAAATTTTGAACAGGAGTGAAGTGATAAGGAGGGAGGTTCTCTTTTTTTAGAATTCTAACAATAGACGACTGACTTACTCCTGTTGCTGCTGATAGATGTCGTGAGCTTATTTCAGGATTTTCATCTACTCGAACCAAAAGTTCATCTTCTTGATTAGGTGTGATTTGTTTCGGTCGACCACCCCGATTTTTAGTGTGAAATGACCCAGTTTCACCTAAACTACGATATAATTAAAAGTTTTGTGATTTGGTTGCCTTCTGTTTGCGCATAACATTCCATACCTTCTGGCTGCCGAGCGACCGCAAAAATTTTCTTGTGCGTATACACAAATCATATCTCGCATGTCTTCATTAGTAAAATGATTGTGACGAGGCGTTCCAATCAAAAAAAGTAATGATTACTTTTAAAAAATGCAACATTACACTACACTGTCACATCAAAAATAATTTACTCTGAACAAATGACATTTACCAACAACAATTATCTGACAGTCCAAAGCATACTTTTCATAAATGAAATAATATTTGAAATCTTTTTTAAGACTCTAAGCAGTTCGACTGCGATTTTATCGAAAACGATTGAAATTATCATGTTGAAACAAGAGTAACAATTTTACGTAAAAATGATGTTTACTTCATATTTTCTAATAAAAATTATTAAAAAGTTTCATCAGAAAAAGTTTAGACTCAATTTGATCACTAGGAATGATCCACGTGGCGCCCTCTATGACAAAACGTAAAATTGTAAATAAAATACTATTTCTTGTCTATGATTATGCCTCTGTGCCAATTTTGATAGCAATTTATAAATATACAGGGAAACTATTAGCAAAAAACGAAAAACAAAAATTAACTTTAACACCCTGTATCTTTTTTCTCAGCAACATTTTATTAAGGCATATTTGGCCCAATAGCCATATTTTGGTCAAAATAACCTGTCCTTAGTCTATGTCGCAATAGTTATGACACCCTGTATAATAAAATAAACATACAAAACAAATATAGAAATATACAGTAAAGGAAAAAATAGTTTTAAAATCAAAAACATTAACAAAAACATAAATAACAGTCATATTTAAATAAGAAAAAAATTTTGAATTCAATATTATGTTACAAAATTAAAAAAAAAAAGTTTTTTACCTTCAGAATTAATTCCTGCTAACACGAAAGAATCAACAGTATACCGCACATTCCTGTTAGTTCCATATTTACAGAATAGTCAAAACAAATAAATACCAGGTTTATATACATTTTTAAATAAAGATATCAGTAAAGTTTTTATAATTTTATAAAATAATATCATTATCTTGTTATAAATTTCCAATTTCCAATTTCCAAATAATTTCAAATACCTAATAATTTTTTAATCAGTTCCCAATATAATTGACATATTATGAATTCAAACGTCAAATCGACTTCAATCATCTTTCAAATATGTGCACAATGTGATAACAGTATACGGGTTGATGTTACAGGTACACGTAAACTTACCCAAATATGCATAAATGCACTCATTTGTGTACAATACATTCAACCAACTTACACCTATAAACCATTACTGGAATTTGCAGAAAACCTTTCGTTGCAGTAAAAGGCACGGCAAACTGCACTGAAGTTCTCCATAATCTTTTTAAATAGGTACTTACTTTGTTTAGAATATTTTTGCTTGTATTATCAGTTAGAGTTATCAGTTAGAGTTAGAGTTTGTATAAGATAAGAAGCAAAATTTCAAATGAAATTTTAAATATTACTGTTTATTTGGCTAATAATGAATGTATAAATAAAATAGTTTAGTACATCATATAGGCCTCTGTTCCGGAAACATGGTATTTGGACACTTCGTTGCATGTATACCTACATATCTTTGAATTTGCGTGCTTAATTTATAAATTATATATAAAGAAGATATTCAGACAGATTCTTTTTCTAACACTCGTCTAAATTATGTTATTCCACTTCCAATTCCCTCTTCTACAATAATTAAAAAATCATTTATTTACACTGGTAAGAAAGTGTTTAATCACCTACCACTCGATATAAGAGCGTCCAGCAAGATTTTTGTATTCCAAAGAGCAATCAAGTTTTTATTATATAAATGTTACTACAGTATAGAGAAATTTATTTGTATATATATATATATATTATATATATATATATATATATATATAATATATATATATATATATGTATATAGAAAAGAAAAGAAATTTAATCTTTGCAGATAAGTAAAATAGTAAACTCTTAAATATTGGGGAAATCTGCAAGAAAGATTCTACTGAGTATCAATTGTTTCGCCGAACGTTTTCGCCAAAGAGAACTAATTTGGCTTCTTCAGGGCTGAAAGAGAATAAATTATAATTAGCTACCTATAAGCTATGAATCGAATTAACGAAGTTATAAACATTTGGTTAAAATCTGCTATGTGTTCAGATGAGGTAAAATCTGCTATGTCCTTTAATTGCATATAACCGAAATGGCTCTTTGTAAAAGTTGAGCGACTACGTGCACTTAACAGATTTTAACTTTATTAAATTCTCCGCTGTAACGCAAATTGGACGCCAATCATAACTACTTCTGCCCAAGTACACTCGCGTCCAAATTCTGCTTCTATATACATGGGGGAAACAACTTCGGTCAGTCAGCCCCCAGACATCCCAGCTGTCGACAAGCCTGAGAATACAACTGCGGTCTATCAGCCCTTGAATACGACTGCTGTCAATCAACCTAAACACAAGCTTACGGTAAATCAACCCCTGGACACAGCTGTGGTCGAACAGCCCTAGGATACACCTAGAGTCGACCAACCCCATGACAGCTGCGGTCGACCAAAGTAAGAAATCCATTACTAGGTTATTCAGGAAAAGCATCAGCTTATAAGAGACAAAGAGCTAAAAAGAATCGATTGATGGGAACAGCATACATTGGCTTCGAGAAAAATGAAGAAGAAAAGATAACTCAGGCAGTAGAAAGACAGGAGAGAGGTGTACTGCTAAGATGTAAACATGACGATGTCCAACAGAAAACAAAAAGAAAATTTACGTGCCCAAATAACAGTCAAAGAAAGAAAACAGATTATCATTATGTTTTGGAATTTAACAAGTTGAACCGAAGAAAGCCTGTTCACGTGATTGCCATTTAAAATCACCTTCGTCATGCAATCGAATCTTTGTGTGTCGAACGTATTACAAAACTGCGATATTTATATGTATCCAAATATCCGAATATTTCTGCAAATAATAATTACATTTCCAGTCAGTGCAGCAACAGTAGAGCGTAGTTTTTCTATGCTTAAGCTGTAAAGATTTGGCTTAGAAATAGAACTTCGGAGGAAAGGTTGACTGGTTTAGCACTCATCAATGTACATTTTAAAATAAAACAAGTAGTAAGCACCAATTATTTATTTTATGAAAACTGAAAGTATGCTACCTATATCTAAGAGCGCTAATACAATTTTTCATGAAAATGAATGTATTTATGGATTTATTTAGATATTTAAACCACAAAACTTCGTGAAAGAGTTTCCTTGGCATTAGTTTTGGCCTGATGCTCAGTCTTAATATCCAAACAGGAACAGTTAATTCATTACAAGAACTAAAACAAAAATATTTATACAGATAAAGACATTGTTTTGTGGACCATAGTACTTAAGATTTATTGCATTCCCATCTCTAGAGTATATTTATTATAATGCTCTAAAAATAATTTTTTGGTTATTTTTTAGCCTTAATAGGAATACAAATAAATAAGTAACTAAATAAGTAATATGGTTTATTGTTACTGAAAATTGTACACATTTTATAAACAAAGCTTATAACAATAAGACAAGAAAGGAAAATAAAAACAGAATAAGAATTGTTTGTACTTTTAAATAAAAAAAAAATTAAATTCTTCCAAAATTAAACATAAAAAATACTACCTAATTAAGAACCTACAAACTTCGTAAAATGTACCTAACAAAAAATAAAAATTAGAAAAGCAGATTTATAAATTAAGGACTTAAATATTCCACGCCCTTGTGCTAAACAGTAACCAAATCTGTCATACAGGTTTCTCCTCATATTTTGGAGTAGGGCTGGTGTAATTCTTCCAGAGAAATAAAGTATTTTTGCCCTTAATTCAACTAAGTTTGTGGCGTTTTTAAATATCAATTCAATTTAATTGAATTATCATCAATCAATTTGTACACTATTGCGGGCTTCACTAGCTTCCACAAAAACACAAATATCAATATCTCTATTTTGACGTTCCTCATCAACAGGTCTAGCATGTGGTTCATTACCTTCATGACACTTTTTACAATGATTTATACATCTCGAAGTTTGAAAATGTTTAATGGTATTTTTAACTGTTGTAATACTTTTCGAAGGCAAAAATAAATAATTCTTTTAATTAATTACTTCGCGTATCGAACGAACCTGAAAGTACCATGTTACAAGTCAAGTTGCACTTTTTCTTGGACGGTATAAAACATAATAGGTATTTTATTAATTATTTGTTTTCCGCAAATCGCCAGGAAATTTTGACATTCCTGTCAAAATTTCTTGAAGAAAAAGTCAGGACTTCCTTACTGTAAGGAAATGTCATTTCCTTACTGTAAGGAAATGATATTTCCGTACAGTTGTTAGTGTTCTACATAAATTAAATTTATAAGCGTCAAGTTTGACAATTCAACCTCAATACGTTTCCATAGTAACCCAAGTAATTTTATTAGGAATTTCAAAGCACCATTTATTTGGGAATAAAATTATCGCGTTTTTTTTTTAAATCAATCAATATCTGTCGAATTTTAAACGATTTGCGGAAAAATAGTATGTTTACCTCGTAGTAAAAGCCACATTCCTGGACTCTGTGTTGCTAAGTCTCGGCTTGCGCCTCGACTTAGCAATCTTCACAGTCGTCCAGGAATGTTAAGCTTTTCCTACCCGGTAAACAATGTACTATTATTCTTTCAGAACTTCGTATTTTGAATGTCAATGTGACAATTACGACAATTCGTACCTGCTGTGAAATAAATATAGAGGTGGAAACGTATAACATGTCACAGCGATTGCCATTGTGTTATATGGTCAATAAAATAATGTGGTGATCTGTATACAAAACTAGAATATACTTACTATAATGAAAACAATTTATTTCTGTATTGTTCTAGTTATTTGGCCTAACTAACATTCGTGATCCTGAAAAAAAATACTTTTTATCTTGTTTAGAAGTATATGGATCCCAGTTCAATCCTTTTCTCTCGATTCCATCAGCATGTGCCATATGTCGATATTTCCCATTAAGATTTGAACTATAGCAATTGTTGTACCACCATCCTCCAACTGTTAACATTAAGGAAAAAAATTATTTAACAAATACTTAATATTGTAAGTAATAGTATTAATTATATAAAAAAACATTGGGCAATAAATTAAATGGAGCCAAAGTGCCTATCTATCTTAAATAACTTTTAAACTTTTATTTTTTAGGAAAAGCGCAACACCTGAAAAAAAATCTGTTTCTTATGAAGGAAAGGAACTTCCAAGGACACACTCGAAAATCGATTTATTTCCCCTGTATTACTGCAACCATACCCTAAAGCTATCTTATTGATTAAATTAAAATAATCTTATTATTATGATAAGGAAAATGAAGGAAAAGAAGACTACTGTAATTTTAACACTTTGAGACCTGACTTTTTTATTTTCAAAAAAAAATCTTATGTGTTTTTATATTTCAAAAGTCTTCAATTAGTAAGATAAAATGAAAAAAACTTGTGTATGCTTTTAAAAAAATATTTTTTTTATTGTGCATATGTATGTACATATGGTCTTAAATATAAACTTAACACTAAAAATATATTTACTACAAAGTAATTATTATTACATATTTATTGTTCATTAAAAGCTGCAAATTAGTTTATAGCCTTAATTAAACACAGAAGTATTTTACATTTTCTACAGAACACATGACTACGTCCATTACAATCTGTGTTTTTACACCTAGTAGCCTCCTTCTTAGAATCAAACTCCGGTATGTGACCAAAATTGTCCGTTTGTATTTCCAAAAATGGTCTCGTCTCTCCTCGTCTTTTAAATGTTGAAATAGAAGGCTTAGGAGATGAACATGCTGGTCTTTACTTACTGAATTGCCCATATTTATTAGGCTTTCGGCAACTCTGAAGTCTAGAAATTTCATTCGATCCTTATTGGTTGTATTACATTTGTCGCAGTCCTTCCTGTATTCCAGCCAGCTGTTGGTGAGAGCGAAGTCTATCATGTGCATAATAACACGCAATATCCACTTTCGCGATCTAATAAATATTCGATAATAATTAATCATCTGGTCCATTAGATCAACTCCGCCCATTCCATAATTATAATCTTTGACAATTTCAG